TGTTTGTAGGGAAATTAGCTATAATTAGTTATAATTTGGCGCTGAAGTTGCTAGAAGGCCAGACCATTATAAATAGGGAAGCGGGTTGTTTACCACGACAATTGAAGTGATTTGTTTCTGAAGATACGGGGAAACAACGCGATTTAACAGCCTTTGAACGCGGGATGATTGTTGGCGCTCGGAGCCATGGAGCGAGTATCAGCAAAACAGCAGAATTCGTTACATGTTCAAGAGGGGCTCATTGTTAAAATGTTTAAAGACCGGACTGTCACCGTGACACCAAAATGGCTGTTAGTCATTTTGGTGTCACCCCAGCAGTGGTGTCACCCGGGTGCCGGCCGCACCCCCCTTGTGACGCCACTGCCGGGGAACGCAAATACTTAGGGGTTGGGACTGCATTTATCAGAGGTGCCCTGACGCGGCAGTGTGGCTTTCACATGTATGCCACTAATCCCTCTGTGTATAACCCGAGTCACTAAAACAGTTCAGTTCGGCTTTTTTGCTGGCTAGGGGTTCTATTCACTACGAGATCTACAACAAAAAACAAAATATAGGCGGCCCGCAGGGCATCAGGAATGTCCTGGCCGGGCCCCCCTGTGCCCCGGGCCCCATTGCGGCCGCTATGGTGATTGTTACGCCACAGTACTTTATATAAAAAGATACTTTAGTAAACCCGCAAATACTGAGATTTAGAATACTTCACTTTTAAATCAGTGGTGGATAAACTCCGGCCCTCCAGCTGTGGCAAAACTTCAAATCCCATCATGCATGTGCCGTTGGTATTCATGCCTGTGGCTGTCAGAGTCTTGCAATGCCTCATGTGATCAGTGGTTCCACAACAGCTGCAGGGCCCGGAGTTTACCACACGCCTGCTTTAAAATGATGCGAGATCCCCGAAGGAAAAAAAAATAAAGTCGAGGACGAGAGATGGATTGAACAGTTTTATTTCGACATAATACACCTGAGCCAATAGCAGTGTGGTTGGCACGATAGACGCACTCTGGTATACTGCCCCCTATGGGTAGGAGGGAGGGAAGGAATGAGAAGGGGGGGATTACATACCGTAGCTGTCCCCGCTAACCCTTCGCATTCAGTGCTGCCCCTTACGTCAGTCCAAATTTAAATATCCACTCACACCCGACATGACACTTCTGACATTGTAATTAAAAAACAAAACAAAAATGATGCAATAAAATAAAGAAAAAAAAACAGATTAAAGTGACTCCCGTACTGTACAGCATATAGTAGTCAATGCAAATTCCTCCTCCTCGTACCTCCATTTCTCTCTGCCGCCATATAGAAATCCAACGCGGCACAGATCAGTAGTAATAGTAAACAAGGGCATTACCCAAAACACAAACTATACGGGTCAGGTTGGAGCTACACTGGCAATTATATCTCATTGTCATGCCAATGAGATAACTGTGAATAAGGGGTTAAATCTCTCAGTAGCAAAGAGACCGGAATGCCAGGGTAGCCCAAGTCTGATTGTTGTAGGGTAGGTGCACACGGGCGTCCCTCCCAGCAAATGAGAACATAGATGCGGGGGCCTGCAAGCCCTTGTATGGGGAGCGGTAATCCTCTGTGCGGTGTCAGGTTTGTTGTGCACATTAGCGGAGGTGAAGTGTAGAGGAAAATGGAGCACCAAGAGGTAAATCGGTGAGGTGCAAATTACCGTATTTATTCATGTAAATCTGTATGTGACGCCCAGAGCTCCTCCCATAATGTGCCAGTAACAGCATAGAATATGGCAGACTTACCTTTTAGTGAGTCCTCAATCTATGCCCCCTTGTCATTCCTGCACTGCCATCTTCTCCCAGTTTTCTTCTGGGGTCTTCTCGGGGTCTTCACCCCTAAGCCATTGGTTGACCACAGATGAGTAAATCTTGTGCATGCCTCCTAAAGTTACACCCCCCAAGCAGGCTCCTCTAAAACTGGTCATACACTGCCCCACTGTCAACTTTTGCCAAATGGTGGGACACAGATGGGGCCACAAACTGCTTGAATTCCAGCCAAGTCAGCAAAATTCAAGCAGTGTGTGGCCCTTTCGGAGCCCTACCGTTCAGCAAATGCAATTTTATTCAACTTGCGTTGAAGGAGCCGAACCAAGAATCCTTAGTTCTGCTTTAAGTGTTGTTTTCAAATGCCCCTTCTTCACGACGTAGACATGTCTAGAACAGCTGCTGTAGTATGGTCTCCATGTGGGTCTGTGTTTCTGTGGAACGAGTCTGCAAAGTGTTCCTTCGCAGCAATCATCTCATTGGGATGATTTTAACCAAAATGCAGACACACACGGAGACCATCACTGCAGGAGCTGTTCTACACACCTTGAGGCCCTTGAAGAACGAGGGTTTAGTGTCCACTGAAACACATTGGAAACCATCTCTTATTAAGTAATTTGCAGGGAACCATCATCCATTTGTGCTCAAGTTTCTTCTACACTTCAATTATTCACCTGAGATACCTCATCTAGCAGAGGATGTTCATCGTCCAGAAATAGCTTGAACCCACATTTCAAAATCTGCTCTTCTCTAAAACATCCAGATGTCCAGATCCAGCGCCGCTCCTGACCAAACCCTTCGGTCTAATTGAGGGCCTAGACACACCAGAGGGTGTCACCAACACTCCGGCATTGCCCAACAATAAGCTATAGTGCGAGGTAAGGCTAATGGTTGGGTTGGAAGTTAGGGTTGGTGCAAATCCTTTGGTTGATGGCTAGGGTTGAGGCAAACCCTTTGGTTGATGGCTAGGTTTGGGGCAAACCCTTTGGTTGATGGCTAGGGTTGGGGCAAACCCTTTGGTTGATGGCTAGGGTTGGGGCAAACCCTTTGGTTGATGGCTAGGGTTGGGGCAAACCCTTTGGTTGATGGCTAGGGTTGGGGCAAACCCTTTGGTTGATGGCTAGGGTTGGGGCAAACCCTTTGGTTGATGGCTAGGGTTGGGGCAAACCCTTTGGTTGATGGCTACACTATGATCAGTGCTACAGCCTAAGATGTGGGGCTCAAGTTAAAATTAAAGGCTGGGGTTGGGACAAACTAGGTTTGGCCGAGTTGTCAGGAAAGCAAAACCAACATTCTGATAACAAAGTGGGATGGGAGCTCTAATATGAAAAATACCACCTCTGGGGGATGTAGTAGTCTCAAAGTCCAACCAAGGCCTGACAGCCTCCAGTCCCAGTGCTGGGCCCAGTGATGCCAGAAAGGTTGAAAAGCTTGTGAACAGGTCAAGGAACTGTACGTAGCGTCTTGTTTTAGCCCTCTCTCCCTTAGCTTTAGATTGTCGCTTGCTGGAGCTATACTTTAAGGACCTATTGCCACTCGCATTGTTATGCTTTCATCGACCATAATCTCCTCTACTCCAGTAAGTAAGCTGACCGCACCAATGAGTGTAGACTTTTTGTCCGGTCTGCGATCCGGCCAGCGCGCTATGTCCCATTGAAGCCCAGCCTTAGAACAGGCTGGACCTGGCCATTTGATCAGAGGGCGAATTTGAGCCATGTGCCACCGCACTACGCCAATTACCTCAACCCTAGATTAAATCCGTGGGCCCTTCGTCCATTCCTGGGGCAGTGTGCCTTGCTTATAATAAAAAATACATTTTCACATTTGCCCTCATTGCTTAAATTATGACGATACATTCTCCCAATTCAAGTTATTCCATTAGAAACTAAAATTAAGCTAAAAAAAAAACCCCAAAAAGATCTGCTAACATGTAAGAGCTCGGCCCTGTGCCGCCCAATCCGTCGACAGCATTCGAAATTGTGCTAAAGGTCAGACCAGAGTAAGATCGGATGGGTGGACGAGGGGCTTCGCTTCATTGCTTTCTGCAACGCGGTGTTTGCTATACTCTGATGTGTGCAAAAACACAAGGTGGCATTAAAAAATGAAACCGTTCTTTTGCCGCTAAGGTCACATAAGGCTGTAGTAAAATATATACCATGTGACTCCTGGAATGATACAGTTCATATTTTGGAACTCATGTAGCGCTCATACTGCTAACAAATACATATTTACAGAGTGTAAAAAAAAAAACCAGCGACTGCGGCTGAACGTTTTCCTGGTTCTTATCGCGCCCAAAAACATTTATACAAAAAAATTGCAATCGCATTCACCTCTCAATGTTTTCAACAACTCTCCAGCATTCATTTGGCTTTCCAGCTTCTGTAATTTCACTGAATGAATTATTGCATCGATAGTAAAATGTAGAGGTCGCCTGAAGGTGCTCCAGCTGCTGAAGAACTTGTAGGAGCGGCTTATAGTTCTACAACGTTGGCAAAGTCTTGGCTTGCCGGTTGCTGGCGTACAAAAAGTATAAGTAGAACAAAACCCTTTTTTGTTTTATTTTTGGATAAAATGTGGAAGGATTAAAAAACCACTGCTGGGATTTTAGTGCTATCTAGGAATACATTAGAGAGATTTCCACAGACTTCCTGTGCTGATGACCACGGTTACAACCAGACGTAAAGTGAGGGTATAACTCTAACAGCAACACAGAAAGAAGGAGTAGGGTAGGAGTAGAGTAGAGTAGGAGTAGGGGTAGGAGTAGGGGTAGGAGCAGGAGTAGAGCAGGAGTAGAGCAGGAGTAGGGTAGGAGTAGGAGTAGGAGTAGAGCAGGAGTAGCACTTTATTGCTGTCCGAGTCCCTGTTGCAGATTTTCCTTAACTTCCTGTCTGCCGACACAGTTGTGAACAGGACAGAAAATGAAGAAGAATCTGTCCAAAGAAGCACCAGATAGCAGCACAAACCCAACAGGGGTTTTAGTCCTTCCTCACTCTATCCACGTTTTTGCTAGACATATGCTTCAAGCCCTGTTGTATTCCTGAAGGTAAACCAAGCTAATGTCTTCAGAACAGTAGAAAATCCATTGTCTTCTAATTATAAAAAGGACACGTTGATATCGGGGCTTCTCAGTGCTTCGTGTTCCAGGCACAAGTGGAAACATTTCTTTGGTAAAAGGCTTAGAAGTACTAAATAAAAAAAGGCCTATCACTTTGTTCTCAAGCCAGTTGGCAAGTAAATTGCTCATCTCTGTATAATCAGTCTGTGGTCTATTGTACCTCTTTAGGACCCCACAAAAGTAATGGAGAAAGTCCGATATATATAACACCTCTGCTGGCTTTGATAACACGATGAAGTCCTCAGGAGATGAGGTGGAGTTGGCACCAGATGGTATTAGTACCCTGCCAACGATCATTTCTTGATTAAAGACCCTAAAAGCTTAGGCATGAATTTTCCTCCTTTCTTGTCCTTTGGGTCATCATCGGCCTCCTCATCTTTTTTACAAAACACTTCAAACCTGCTGTAGACTCTCTTCTCCTTCCTTATGCTCTCCATCCTCCTCAGCAGATTGTCCCTGTCTTCTGGGGAGGTTGGCGATGGGCGTGAAAAACGGCTCCTGCTTAGGAAGCTCCCGCTCCTACTTAAGGTAGATAAGTCGTGAGTAGGGCTCTCCTCTGCTTTGGTCTCGGTTGAGTTTGTGATAGGAGATGTCACCTCCGAGTCATTGGTGGACAAGGTTTGGGATTGCTTGGCCATTTCTGCCCGGTTTTTCTGGCTGTTGGCAGATATTTGCTCTAAGATCACCTTGGTGTCATCACGTAGGTTGCTGCTGAAGATGACATTGGAGGTTGAAGAGGACAACCTGCTCTGGCTGCTCGATGACGTTTTTGGAGGAGAAGCAGATATGACTTTTGTGGTCTTGTCTTCCGCGTCCACTCCAGGGGCAGATTCCGTGATCTCCGTTTTAGAGAACCGTCTGAGTGCGCTATTCTGTTTCTCGACTTTAACTGCATCAGAAGACAGATCTTCATCTGCCTTCTTCTCAGCCTTGGACTGCAAAAACTGTTTCAGCCTCAACGACCCCTTCCGGATGAACTCCATGGGAGTCTCTGCTTTGGACAATTCTTCCTCCGACTTGGGCAAGGAGGTAGCGGGTGAAGTAGGTTGGACAGGAGTTGGGTTTTGTGACATACTTTCAAGAGCATTGCCAAATGAAAGACCGGAGCTAGCTAGATTTTTGGGCTTTGGAGGTTCGATCTCTGGTAGCTTGGGTGGGTCTACAACCTCAGTGATGATGGGTCCACTCTCCCTCTTCTCGGGAAGAGCAGGGATGTTGCTTTCGGTTGTCTGAAAACTTGACATCTCCTGCTCAATTTTGGTGAAGGAACTGGTGACTTTCTCTTTGCTATAAAGGTCCTGGAACTGAGACGTGAACGAAGAACGATACTGGGATTCAAGGAGGGTTCGGCTAAATGAATCTTTGTCCGTCAGCTTTGACTCTAGAGATTTGAACGCTACAGTTTCAGTGCTTTTCTTCTGTCCGTCCTCCGATTCCTCTTGGATGACTGCAGCCGCTGCTTTGGTTTGCGTCACTGCGGTAGTTTCGCCATCTTTGTTTACACTTCGATATTTCTCCAAAATCTCCGCCACCTTAGAGGACTTCTTTACAATTTCATTGTCTCGGACTATCTCGGCGGTGCTTTGCTCTTTCTGAACACTCTGCATTGCCTCAACAGTAGAACTGTGTTGCTCTACCTTGGAGTTGCTAAATATAAGCGAGGATCTTAGACGGGAACTTCTTTGGATCAAGGGGTTGGTCCTTGTCCGGAAAGAGTCATGTCTTGACAGGAAGGTGTCTTCTTTTTCCTTCTCTAATACTGATATCTCCTTTGATGTTTCAGACAACATAGGGACGTCATTAATTGCTGTTACAGGCTTGTAGGCGGGTATAGGATCAACAGAATACTTTACGAGGGTCTCATACGGGTTTATCATAGATGGTCTTTCAACTGTTGTATCGTCGAAGGGTTCCGAGTCTATGGCCAATGGCATCCCTTCTTCATCATTGTCTGGCTGAATACCACTTAGGTACGATGAGATACGCCAGCTGCGTAAGCCTTGCTTGTTTTCTTGGTCTTTTTTATCAGCATCTTGGTCGTGGAAAAAGTGTCTCTGCTCTGTGCCCTGCTTATGTGTGGGTGATATTTGGCACATGAATTTCTGCCGTGATTGTGACCTCTGCCCAAATCTACCCTCATCTCCAAGTACTACCTGGTCTGAGCCGTGTCTAACTTCTCGGGATGAATTTGAAGGGTTATAGCCAAGCCTTGTGTGAGGTCCTTCAACAGGAAAATTGCCTTCCCCTTGCAAAGCCCTGAAAGGAGGAAACCTCGAGTCCATCTCTTCCGTATCTTGCAAACCTCTGCTGCCTCTGATTTTCTCAAACAGTCCCTGAGTCCTCCCTGGGCGATCCATCTGGACAAACTGACTTTTCTGAAACTGGCTTGATGATTGGAACCGGTACTCGTTATTGTCGGTGTTCGTATACATCTGCCTCGAGTACTGCTTTGAGGCGCTGTAGTTCTCGAAGGTGCCTTCAGCAAAACTGTGCCTCTTAAAAGCATCCATCTCCAGCTGTTTGTTCTGCATAAAAGACAACTGCTGATCAGGGAACCTCGCCCCGCCTTGCCCATGCATCCTCATGCCCGGGTTCTCCATTGCCTGTCTCATCATTTCCTCCCTCCGAAAGCCATGAAGAAAATGGCGGTCAGGGTCGACCCCAAAGGAGTTGAATGAGTTCTGAGAACTGTCGTCCCGGGGGAACATAAACTGCATCTTCCGCTCGAAGAATGGGCGAGGGCCGGCGAAAGGAACCATCCCCATGAATGGCTTTTCCATATTCAATAGTACGCTCTCGGGAGGAATGAGGGGGTCCGACTGGGCGAAGAGGACCCGGAACTCTTCATCAAAACTGGAGACCAGCTCACCCTGGAAGATGTGCGCCATGCTTCGGTGGATCTTCTCAAATGACCACATGAAACTGCAAGAACATGACAAAGACAGTTATAATCATTCTCTTCACCAAGCTTCTCTCTATTAAGAAATAAAGCACCAAAAAAACCTAAAAAATAAGTTTATTTTAGGCCTCAAATGCAGAGTGTGCCTGGACAGTGTAGATATCATATCCAGAAAACGACCGGTCAGATGTACGCAATAGGTTGGACTTGATGGACTTATATCTTTATTCAACCTCAAATACTATGTTACTATGTTATAAGTTGCCTAACTGGAGGCTCCAGCTGGATTGGGTAGCGCTGCAGAAATGCAAATACCCACAAATATTGCCCAATCCGCAGAGCCAACCAATCCAATCTCTACTCCCCGGGGCCAAAATATGAACAGCCAAAGACGTTCTTCTATTTCCTCGTTGGGGTAAATATTCATTTATTATAATGACTAAAAAGTTAACGGGAATCCTCTAATCCAGGGGTGCCCGTTAGGTCGATCGCGATCTACCTGTCGATCGCAAAGCAAACACTGCTAGATCGTGATCAGCTCACTGACCAGAGCTCCCTCCCGCGGTGCTAGTGCGGCTGAATGTGTCAGACGCTGCAGACAGGAAGAGGCGGGACACCTCTACCCGTCTGCGTTAGCCACACTGTCACCAGTGCGCGGCAGGACGCCCCTCCCAGTCTGTAGAGTCGGCCACATTCAGCATCACGAGCACCGCAGGAGGACAGGACAGCACACATGAGAGGAGATCTGGGAAGAGGCTGCAGTAAAGGTAAGGAAAGACCGCCAGAAGAGAGAGAGAAGAGAAAAGACAGCAGAGAGAGAAGAGACGAGACAGCAGAGAGAGAAGAGATGAGACAGCAGAGAGAGAAGAGATGAAACAGCAGAGAGAGAAGAGACGAGACAGGAGAGAGAGAGAGAGAGAGAGAAGAGACAGCAGAGAGAGAGAGAGAGAAGAGTCAGCAGAGAGAGAGAGAGAGAGAAGAGACAGCAGAGAGAGACGAGACAGCAGAGAGACACAAGACAGCAGAGAGAGAAGAGACAGCAGAGAGAGAAGAGACAGCAGAGAGAGAGAGAAGAGAAAAGACAGCAGAGAAAGAGAGAGAGAGAGAAGAGACAGCAGAGAGAGAAGTGAGAGAGAGAAGAGAGAGAGATAGAGAGAGAGAGAGAGAGAGAGACAGAAAGAAAAGAGCAGCCATCATAATTTTCCCCTGACGAGCCCACTGTAACCTCTTCCCCGATGTAGATGTCCCCGTGCCGAGATAAAAATCTAAGCTCACAGCGACAATTTCTGTGGCGAGCGCTCCACCGATGTCTCACCTGTAAGTGCCGCTTAGGACCACCGAACAGTCCACCAGAATGAACTTTTCCAGCAAGTTCCCCTTGAAGGTGGTGCCGTTCCGACAAAAGTAGGTGGGACCAGCCAGTGTCCGGACTCTGAGGAACTATGAGGGGGGAAAGAATAAGAATTCCCTCATTAAATAAATGAAATCAAACTAACGGATGACCACATAATAAAATGAACACACACAGAACATCCCCCCCCCCAAATATACACGTCAAGGATATTTTACACTGAGTTGCCTGCAGATTGGCTCATCCCATCACCTTCACCATCATAAGGGGGTGAGAACCTATGGGGTGTACAGAGTTGTCATTGGAACAATTGCCCGCACTGGAACATCTCCCTTCTGAAAATTTGGGGTCTGCCATCACTTTCCAATGAAAATTTTCAGCAGAGGGGATGCTGCAGACATGGGTCTCCCCCACAAGGTGGCGCCATCGTATTTGGTTTAGACAAGTTGCACATGGAGGTATCAATGTTTCCATAGGCTCCTATTTATTCTGGAGAGAAAGAATCTTAATTCTCAAAATGAGGTAAAGGACTGGAGCAATTGTTCGGCTGTCAGACAGCAGGTGGGATGGAGGGGGGCCTTGCACGTGTTTTGGTGTGCCCGGGGTGCCTCCGCAGGGTGCAGACACAAAGACGGCATGGCAGCTGGTGTGTGGGAGACGAGCTCGGCAGGCGTGGTCACGTGTCACTGGGTGTCATCATATGGTAAATATAGGACACACCTGGGTGGGGGAGATTTACAGGTAAATAGAGCAACATAGGGCCTTCTATGTGGGAAGACAATCAGGATTAGTAATGCTGTGGCTGTCATTAAGAGACGGGACTAAAGGACTGATGGCGGTGACAGATGCATCATGGGAGATCGAGCAACAACAGCCTGCAGCCACCTTCAGCTAGCTGGGGGAAAAGTTTCCATCTCAAAGTTAAATCTGACCTCCGTCCTTACCTTCAATCTTCTATCTGACCTCCGTCCTTCCCTTCAATCTTCTATCTGACCTCCGGCCTTCCCTTCAGTCTTCTATCTGACCTCCGTCCTTCCCTTCAATCTTCTATCTGACCTCCGGCCTTCCCTTCAGTCTTCTATCTGACCTCCGTCCTTCCCTTCAATCTTCTATCTGACCTCCGGCCTTCCCTTCAGTCTTCTATCTATATGACCTCTGTCCTTCCCTTCATTCTTCTTTCTGACCTCCGTCCTTCCCTTCAGTCTTCTGTCTGACCTCCTTCATTCCCTTCAATCTTCTATCTGACCTCCGTCCTTCCCTTCAGTCTTCTATCTGTCCTCCGTCCTTCCCTTCAGTCTTCTATCTGACCTCCGTCCTTCCCTTCAATCTTCTATCTGACCTCCGGCCTTCCCTTCAGTCTTCTATCTGACCTCCGTCCTTCCCTTCAATCTTCTATCTGACCTCCGGCCTTCCCTTCAGTCTTCTATCTGACCTCCGTCCTTCCCTTCAATCTTCTATCTGACCTCCGGCCTTCCCTTCAGTCTTCTATCTGACCTCCGTCCTTCCCTTCAATCTTCTATCTGACCTCCGGCCTTCCCTTCAGTCTTCTATCTGACCTCCGTCCTTCCCTTCAATCTTCTATCTGACCTCCGGCCTTCCCTTCAGTCTTCTATCTGACCTCCGTCCTTCCCTTCAGTCTTATAACTGACCTCCGTCCTTCCCTTCAGTCTTCTATGCGACCTCCATTTTCTCCTTCAGTCTTCTATCTGACCTCCGTCCTCCCCTTCAGTCTTCTATCTGATCTCCCCTTCAGTCTTCTATTTCTGACCTTCCCTTTAGTCTTGTACCGGCTCCTCTCCTGGACTGGCTTCCTCTGATGTCACTGCACCCTGGGAGCTTCTCACCATGTGGGATTAGAAGCTGCAGGGAGTCAGACAGAGCCTCATGTCCTGGCTGTAGGACATCTAGCGTTGACTAGTCCTTTCTTCCCCAGCCTGACTGTGCCTGACCCAACCCCCCTTTCATTCATTGGATTTCAGTGTTGTTAACCATGGAGGCTCAGCACCACGTGTGTCACCTGAATGTCACTCTATGGAAGACAAGACAGTATAACCATACAGTGAGGTCCCTATAATGAGGAAGGCTGAGGCTCTTGGCTCAGGCAGCATTTCATTAGGGTGTGGGGGGGAGTACAGGTGTGCCTGCCACCCCGTTCATGGCCGTTCCTGGTCAGGTTGCTAAGGGCGCTCCTAAGTCTCCGATAATTGGGTCTTTTTCAATTTAATTTTCTATGATAGGAATTGGCAACCTCAGCACTCCGGCCATTTTGGAGCTACAAGTCCCCTGAGGCATTGCAAGACTGACAGCCGCAGGCATGACTCCCGGAGGCAAAGCCGTGGTGGGATTTGTAGTTTCCCCACAGCTGGAGTGCAGAGGTCGCCTGTTCTATAATATGGCGCACCCTCGGCGTTCTCCATGCCTCTCATTCCACAGACCAAGCCATTAACCGATACACAGACGCC